AAATGGAGTCTTCAGCTAGGTTTCCAGAGATAGATGCTACTGATTTACTCGAGATGAGGGAGAATAATCACAATTAGAACTATCAAAGAAGCACAAAAACCTGGGTGTGCTGAGCGAAGCGAAATGAGAAAGGTTGAGGAGATTCCCGAAGACGAGCTTGACGACGTTCTTTGCCGATTTTATGCAGAGATAACACTGCAAAACGGAGATGAATACAAGCCAGATAGCTTTGCTGTTAAGCAAGGCTCCTTAGACCGCCATCTAAAGAACAACGGCAAGAGTTACAACATACTACGAGTCCGTAAGTTCGCCATGTTCATCTGTTTTTGGATTCAATTTGGATTCAATTTTTGGATTCAATTTTGGATTCAAAAAAATCCTCGGACTACCAAATTGGACTCGACCTACGGCCTTGGCAGTCCTCGGAATTTTTCTCATCCAATTATTTCCAAATTGGACAGCATGTAGTCCTATTACAAACACAAATCACCGATTTCGCTCAAACTTGGGGACTTCAATGCTTTTTTCTGCGCTGGCGTTCTGTTTACCGACAATAGGACTTTACGATTTATGGCCATTTCATGGACATCCACTTAGACACAAAAGTTGTTGTTCTGTCTTAACGTAACACGAAACAAGAAATAACTAATTAAGCATTTTCCTATCGATTAAGAGTAAAAATTCGGCGAAAAGACGAGCTCGAGGCACTTCTTTCAAATAGTTTTGGAGCTATATTTTGTGGCATTTTAACAATATTTACTTATTCTCACAATGTCAACTCAGGCGTAAATTACAATGGAAGCAAAATATAACCACTAAATACATGTCACCTAGTCCCCAAGCATTTCATGGCTTTTTTGAGAACTTTAGTGATTGCTCTCACTATCCATGCTAGAATGATATGTATTTGCTATTGCCCATTGCAGATATTTGCCATCAATTAAAGGCTATTTTATTTAAAGGCCCCTTAAGAGCCACGGAAAGAAATCAAATTGCCAGTTCAACAGAGTATCTGTGCTTTAAGACTGATAATTGTAGAATATGATCCAGAGAGAAAATAATACCCAAGAGGGCCTGGCTATTGGAATTTCGACGCAGCCTGCAGAGATTCCAAGCTTTATTTAACAATTATTCGCCGAAGGAGGAGTAAACATTGTTGAATATTTACTAAGACGAAGTCGAGGTAAGTATTCACCAATGTTCACTGCGCCTGAAGGGAACAAATGTCTTAGTATAATTTTCAGAGATGAATATCAAGAACTACAAAGTAACGGACTAAAACACGAAACTACAGACGCGATTGTTCGTTTGTTTTCTCTATGCAGCCGTATAGTGAGCTTAAATGTACATTGATTGTGAATCAATTTACTCATCGAGTTAGACATTAAAACAAACAAGCAAAACCATGCGAAAAATAAATTCCTCCGGTACCTTTGCTATATTATTATTATCGTTGTTGACTTCATTCATAGTCGTACTCATCGTCTAAACACGAGTAGCTCTTAAGTTTGAAGAAAAATCATTTTCGGTCGATTTGAACTGATAGCGATCAACGAAACCACTGCGTTTACGATTCTTAAATGCCTCGAATACGACTTTTTGAAAACATTTTTTTGTCTAGAGGCAACAATAGTCATTTTTTGCAAATTTCCCATGTTTTCAAATATCCCGAACTTGGAGTGATGTATTTCGAATATTCAACGACTGTCCGCTATGTTTACTTGCCAAGATGGCAAAGATGGCGCGCTTAGTAACCAAGCCCCGGAAATGCTATATTCACCACCTAGCGTGGTAAATATAGCGTCCAATTCTTATATTCACCTCTGGAAATTGTACTAAAACTCATTGGTATAATTGTTAAATATCAAAATGTTTCTGAAAAAGGTATGTTGTGGGAAGTAGTAAAAATGGAAATAAAAGCTTTCACAATTAACTTCTCGAAACAAAGAGCAAAAAAACCAAAGTGGAGATGTTGAGACGGAACTTGTCTAAATAAGGTACAAAACCTGAAA